CAGCGGTGGCCGGGGCTCCATTGTTGCCACGTGCATTCCCGCGCGATCTGCCCTGTCCCTTGGTTTTGGGGTGACTCACACGAGGCTGGTTGCCTCCCTAGGGGCGGAGATGGAGAGAAGGAGGACAAGGCCAATGTCAAGGGCAGGCCGCGGCCCAGGCAGCTGCACACGCACAGACATGGGGAGTCGGAAGTCCCGGAGTCGGCGTTCTGGAAGAAAATCACCGCGTATCAGCAGAAGCTTCTCGTAAGATGCAGGGCGAGCATTGTCTCCGAGCTGCCGTGAGGCAGTGGGAACAGGCTCAGCCATGGTCGCCGACCGCTCTGTGGCCGTTGGGGCCAGTTGGGCCGTGCAAACGTGTCTCAGCATGTGCGAGCTGTGAGCAGAGCCCCAGGCCTGCCACTGCTGTTGGCAAGCCATAACCTGTGCACACGTTCACACCACCTGGTTCGTGACTGCTGGGGGGGGACTCTGAGTCTCCCCAAGAGTAAGCAGGGCAAGTCAGCAAGCATACCCTCCAACCTTGCAACAGGTCAGGGCAGAGCGCCCTGCCAGGGTGCCGACCCTCTCTACCGACCCTCGGTGGGTAGCTAGCATCCCAGAGCGTCCCTCTCCACGAACCTGCTAACTCAGGCCTCCAAGTTCGATGGATTATAGAAGATCATTCCAAATTGTTCTTTAAAAAAAATTATTTAATTGTATGTATTATTATTTTGTTAAAAATTTGCTATAGGCCATGCGTGCTCACTAGAGAAAGACAGTGGGAAGAGATGTGCGAAAGCAAGCTGCCAGGTTTGGAACTCGAACCACGGTTGACAGTGGGGGAGTCCAGCACCTTAACCGCCACACCACCTGCTAACTCCCCAGATTACTCTTTAAACAGACCAAGGTGAAGAGAGGTGGGAGCGAAGCGGGAGGAGTGGGTTATGGAGCCCCTGTGCATTTGCAGAAGCCATCTCGGCAAAACCACATTCGCATTTGGGAAAAAGAAAGATGTAGCCCTCTAAATGCACGGGTGGAAAGCCCATGTGTAATACAGCACGCGTGGTTTCTAAAAGAGTCTGAGAAGAGAAGGGTTGGCGACGTCTGTGTAGCAGCCCGAGAGGTGCCAGCCGGCCAGGACCTGGATGGCAGGAGCAATGCCATCACAGGACCACCGAGAACAGGCCGTGCAAACCCTGCAAGGGCGAGCTGCGCCCGCGGGAAGGTGGGGCCCGTGGCGCTGTGCCCGTGAGTGCCTTTTCAGGACGGACGTGGGGTCCGTGAGCGAGTAGTTTCACCACGTGACCTCGGCCCATCACACCCCTGTCCTGTCGTAAAGTACCCTGGACATGTGTGGTGCCAGCCCTGGCCTACCGCAGCGGTTGCCATGGCCGCAGCTGGGGTCTGTCTCCCACAGTCTGGAGGCTGGCGGTCAGGATGCCCTGCAGCAGCCGGGGAGCCCTGGGGTAGCGTGGGCACAGTGTGTGGACCAGGTGGTTGAGGCTGTCCTCCGGCTGCCGCACCCATGCACTCTCCTTCCTGCATGGCTTCTTTGTCCCCTGCTCCTGTGAATCTGGTTTTCTCTGCCGCAGCTTGACACTCAGGTTCACGGGGCCCCCTGCAGGCCCCCGGCTCTTTTGACTGTCCAGTCAGAGAAGCAGGGTTGGCCCAGTTCCACCTTCCAGGGGGAACCGACCTGCCCGGCCTGCTGAGCAGACAGGAAGGGATCTTGGTGGGAACGGCCCACGGGGCTGCCATGGCTCTGCCAGGGGGTACCTGCCAGAGCCCCGCACACCTACCTGTGCCACGTGGGCATCTCCCCTCAGGACAGAAATGGCAGCTACTTCCCCCGCAGCCCGTGTGCTGGGCACCTCCTCCCCACCGTCCGTGCTCTGCCTCTGTAAGTGCGCCCTCTGCTTACGTGGGTGCTCAGGCCCCAGACCTGCTCTCGCACCTTCTGTATGATTAGCTCTGGGTCTTCTCGGCCCCGGGCACAGTGGGCTAGTCTGCGGTGCGTGTCAGCCCGCCTCCTGGGGTCTCCTGGCTCTGCTCTGGCCCCGGTGCCTGTCTACACACGGCAGCAGGGCTGAGTTTTCCATCGGATCACAGAAGCCCACTTCCCGTCCTGCAATAGCTTCCCACCTGCCTGGAGTAAGAGCAGTCCCACACAGCAGGACAGCTGTCACCCCTCCCTGTGACGGCGAGTAACAGCTCGTCCCCCTGCATGGCCCATCCCCAAGCAAACCTTGGAGTTAGGTTCTACCGTTCCCCTACAGATGAGAAAGTGAGGCCGCAGAGGGACTAGTCACGGCTGAGTGGGGCGGGCTTTGTGCCCAGCAGAGACAGAGACGGCCATCCCAAGCCAGACGCTGACCTGGCCCCCCCTCCAACGTGCTGGGTCACTCTAGGCTCGGCCTCCATCCTGCACCTGCCTTCTTAACACGCCATCCCCACCCTGCATCTGGCGCAGCCCCGGCTGCTCCACGCCATTCAGCGGCCTCCGGGGACAGACCTTCGAGCACCCCCTGCGTGCCCGTGCCGAGCCCTCTCCCCTGGGGCCTTCAGCAAACACAGTCCCTGGTCCTGCTGGGGCGGCCTCATCCCGTGTCTCTGTGAGGTGGCAGGGCCACCGTCCTTGCCATGAGACGCAGATCTGTGAGTGGTGCTGGCACGCAGAGCATGCAGACCGATCGGGGAGGGGTGGGTGCTCGACTGAAATCGTGTGCAAAATCAAGGCTCGGCTGAGTGACCTTTTGCAATCTTGTCTTTCAGAACTATTTTGCTCGCAACTTTTACAACATGCGAATGCTAGCCTTGTTCGTCGCCTTCGCGATCAACTTCATCTTGCTCTTTTATAAGGTAGGCGAGCCTCCGTGTTCCACGAGCGGTGAGCAGCCGTGCGTGGCGGCCATGGCGGGACGTGATTGCTCCACGAGGCAGCTTCTGAAGGCTCTTGGAAAATGGAATTAAACGTGTTTATTTGAGTGCCAGACTGAATTCTACACATAGTTCTTTCATGATGCACGTGCTCCAGGAACTGTTCGAGGCCCACCTCTGAGTGGTGGACACGTGCACACCTATCTCAGCTGCTTTTAATGGAAGGGCACTCGGTTGGGGCTGAGCGAGGCAGCATGGGTGTGTCCCCCCCACCCCAGCCCATGGGGTGCCCGCACCCACAGCTCTGCCTTGGGAGGTGGGCTGGTGGCTTACCCCTCACTGGGCGACGACCTGTGTCACGTCAGGCCTTTGATAGCTGCTCCCTGCATGTGCTGAGTCCTCCTAGCTGTGGTTGGATTAGAAGCAAGTTCGTCACTTGCCTTTGGGCCTAACGAGTCACCTCTGGCCTCTGCCTGAACCTTTCCCCGTGTGCTCTGCATCCGTTGCCAGAGCCGCATGTCTTCTGGTCTGTCCACGTGCCTCCCTGGCCCAGTGAGCTGATCTCTCCTCCATGTTCCCTCAGGTCTCCACATCCTCTGTGGCCGAAGGGAAGGAGCCTCCTGCTCAAAGCCCAAGCGAGAGTGCCCCAGTCCCTAGCGTGGATGGCGACTCACGCAGTGTTATCGCGGTCCACTATGTCCTGGAGGAGAGCAGCGGCTACATGGAGCCCACGCTGCGCATCCTGGCCGTGCTCCACACGGTCATCGCCTTCTTCTGCATCATCGGCTACTACTGCCTCAAGGTGAGCCCAGGCCTCGAGGCGAGCCTGCGGCCGGCCTGCATGCCCTCTGCAGCCACGGAAAGGGGCTCCCAAGAGGGAACCGAGTGCCCCGAGTTTATCAGATAACGTTCCTGAGCCCATGTCTGGCGGCCAGTGAGGCTGCAGGCTACAGAGAGAAAGGTGCCCCGTGCGGCAGCACACAGACTGGCCCCAGTCCCAGCCTCTACCCCCGCAGTGGGGATTCCTGGCCTGGACACAGAAGTTGGCCTCTGTGTCACTGCGGGCTGCAGGCTGGCCGGCCAGGGAGGTGGACTGGGCTGTCTTTTCTTCTCCTAGTTGGCAGAGGGCACGTGTGCTCGCCAGCTGGAGACAGAGAGACAGATATGGGGAGAGGGCGAGCACAGTCTACCGGGCATGGCCATGCCATGGTCCCATCTGTTCCATTTCTCCACCTGTCAGCATTTGGAGCACACACGTGCCTGGCACAGTTGTCAAGCTGCTACAACCAGCCATGTGGGATCTGGTCTTTGAACCCCTAGGCCACAGAGCTGGTCCCCAGGCTGCCCGACGTGGCTTTCTTTCCTGCACTGATGCGGTCTCCTGGCAGACAGTCATGTCACCCCTCGAGCCGCACCCCAAGGGGAGCTCCCACCACCATGTCCCAGGGCGGGCCGCGGCTGCCGGCCGCTCACAGGTGTGCAGAGCCTGGGAGTCCTGGTGTCCCAGGGCGGGCCGCGGCTGTTGGCCACTCACAGGTGTGCAGAGCCCGGG